AGATAATTTATAATGGCCAAAAATTAGAGAGAAAATTTAAGTTGGTGGTTAAATCTATGTAGTAAATTTTGGATAGTTATCCATGTGAATCTATCGGGCCATCCGTAACAATTATTTGGTATTATGAAACACAGGCTTACCCATCAAAGTGCCATTTTTTTTTTTGTCCTTCTTACCTAGGAAATTGCTATGGACTATTAATTAGAATATTTTAAGACTCTTTTCATGCATATATTATAACTAGTGTATGCCCGTGCCTGAAGGCACGGTGCAATTAATAATGACTTCTAATTATATAAATCAAAATAAAAATTATTAAAACATAATGTTCAGATTTTTCTTTTCAATGGTGGTGGACAGTCACAAAGCGGAAGTGGTGATAAGTCCCTTCGTTCAATACCCATTTCAAAAACTTTTTCAAATTTTCTTAAGTTTTGTGAGAAAATTTTAATTTGTACTATAATGCTATTATATGTATTACAAATTCAGCTCATTAAATTTTTTAAAATTTCTATGACAAGATTATAAAATTAAATGTTAGTATTTTATGATGAAATGTCTTCAAATTATTCTAATATCAAAGTTAATATTTTTTATAAAAATTATTAATTTTATTGAATGTATATTAAAAATAATACATGATATAGCAGTTTGGTTTGATTTTTTAAATTGTTTTTTGATTTTTTTGAAAAAATATAAATAAATTTGACAAAAATAAATTGTTTGGTTTGATTTTCCAAATGGTTGTGGAAGAATGTGCCACCTCCCAAAATTCAATTTTTTTTGTTGGTTAGCTTGGAGGGGCAGAGTGCAATCCGGTCTTACATACAATTTACAACTGCTTATGTGCTTATATGCAGACACCTGAAATAAGCTATGTCCTAAAGTATGGATTTAGATAGTTAACAACTAAGTGGAAACCTTTAGCGAAACCCAAATGAAAATGAATCCTAAGAATTTTTTATAATATTTTGGGTGCCTGACCCCAAATACAGTGAAATAAACCAAACGAAACTAAACCAAACAAAACTCTATGTCCCAATCAAGTGGGCTACGATACGTGAATCCTTTTTTCGTCATTTCATACTATTAAAAGCTATATGCTCGGTTAAATTAAATAAATTCGTTTAATTTTTTTACTATCAGATCCCAAGTCAATTTACGTCTTCCCCTAACATTTCCTTTTACGGTGATCCTATCACATTATTCTCTACCATTTCATGAGCTTGTTGTTTCTTAATTGTCCAATATTATGTGAACTGCAAAGTATCACTAGTCTTACAATTGTTCTATAAATTAACAACATCAATTTTGTTAGCATCATTGATCACATAATATGCCAAAGGCACTCCACTTGAACCTACTTTGATTCTATTACAGGTCGGAATTTCTAACACAACATGAATCGTACACAAAGTTAGGGGTTAGGGTTGAACATTTTTAGAACAAACGCAAATATGACACTATAATAACATGGTAAATAAATAGGGTTATATCAAAGCTGCATAATATGAAATTGACACAGATAACCCATTTAATAGATAATTAGTTACAAATTTTAATGTTATTTTCATTAAAGGATGCCATAAATGTTTAAATCTCTTATGTAACCTACACAATTAAATAAAGAAAATAAATAAAATAGTATTTTCAGGTTAATATAGTCATTTTGTCTTTTATTTGAGAGAACATGATCATTTCATTTATTATTTTGAAGTCAATAAAAATATATTTTTTTTGAATAAAATAGAGTCAAAATTAAATATTTTTTTTTTTGTATAATTTCATTTAGTACAGATTAGTTCATGAAATTTAACTTATGAAAAAACGTTAATCTTTCCATACACTTAGTATTTTTAATTGAAATTCATATTATATTTGTCATTTTTTTGAAAGATAAAATTGACTTTAACCCCCTTTACTTTATTCCATGTGTGATTTAACTCTGATATTTGAAAATAAAAACATAACCCCCTTATGACCTAGCACATGTTTCACACTTGATGTTAACTTGGATTGAACGTCTGACGGCATACTTCATTTAGTCCACAAACCACAAGAACATTATAGTTATTTCCAAATTATATGGGTAGTTTGCACATGCACATTGAAGTGAAATTTGTCCTTTATTAAATATGCACAATGTCTTGAATTGAATAAATACACCTAGAGGGTAAAATAGTATAGTGAAATAAATCAGGTGACAAATACCATTTCTCATATAGTATAATAGGCAGCAGATTCAAGTATACAACCCCACCTTGATATTATCAAGTGAAATACTGAATAAAGGTATATATATAAATATATGTAGTACTATTATAAAGAGAAGTCTTCTCTGGGTGTTTACGTCTCATATTTTGGGTTTTTCAAAAATACCCCTATATCAGTTATATGGGCAGTTATGCACTAAATTCATTTTTTTTCCCCAAATCTGTGAACTTTTGATTTTTTCAGATTCATTTCAATTTTCAGATTTTGAATTCAATCATACAGTTTACAGTCTTATTTTCTGAAACAAAATGATCATATATATGTAACCATGTGGACCTCGAATTGAAATTGTCAGTCCACCTTAATTCTCAATTCATGAATTTCATAATATGAATTTCAATTCTCAATTCTCAATTCATGAATTTCATAATATGAATTTCAATTCTCAATTCTCAATTCTTAATTATATGAATTTCATAATACGACATTAACAATTCTCAATTATATAAATTTCAATTCGCATAATTTTATTCTTAATTAAAAAAATTACTTTTAAAACCCTAATTTCATTTTAATTATTCTTAACAAGCAAAAAATAAAATTTACAATTCAACAAATATAGGTTGGTTTATTCACAATTCAAAATTCCAAACCCTAATTTCAAAAAATATAGACAGGATTCACAAGCATAATTTCTGATTTCTGATTCACAAGCAAAATTCCAAACCCTAATTCCAAATCCTGATTTCTGATTTCAAAAAATTCCAAACCCTAATTTCTGATTTCAAAAAATTCCAAACCCTAATTTCTGATTTCAAAAAATTCCAAACCCTAATTTCTGATTTCAAAAAATTCCAAACCCTAATTTTTGAAACCACAAGCATAATTTTTGATTTCACAATTCAAAACCCTAACATTTTATGATTTCATAATTTCATAACCACACATTTAAAACCCTAATTCAAAACCCTAACACATTAGAACCCTAACACATTTAATAATTGACATTTAAAACCCTAACATTCACATTTTCACAAACACATATTCATATTTTCACAAACACAATAAATAAATACATAAAATTCAAATGAGACAGAGAGATAGATGCCATACCACGGACAGAGAGAGAGAGAGCAGAGATAGAGAGTGAGAGCAGAGGGGAAGCGAGAGCGACAATGAGAGTTTGAGAGCAGAGGGAGATCGAGAGCGAGAGAGTCTGAGAGCGGATCGAGAGCGAAAGTGAGAGAGTCTGAGAGCAGAGGGAGATCGAGAGCAAGAGTCGAAAAAACATGAGTGTAAAAAACGCGATTGCAAATAAGGGGGCTTAGGTGTTTTATTTAAGTTGTAAAAGCATGGTTTCAATCCACGCTTTCAGTTATCAACAGTGAAAGCGTGATTTCAAATCACGTTTTCTTAACAAAAAACAAAGCACAGTGAAAGCGTGATTGCAAATCACTTTTTCTTTAGAAAAAAAAAATTAAACAATATGCACAGTGAAAGCATGGTTTGGAACCACGTTTTCTTTAGAAAAAAAATTTATGTTAAAAGCGTGGTTTGAAACTACGCTTTCTTAATTAAAAGCATGGTTTCTAATAGCGCTTTCACTGTTCATCAAATTTTCGGCCCCAAACAGTGAAAGCGTGATTTGCAATAGTGCTTTAGCCTAGTTTGAGAATTCCGTCCAAACTAGTCCTAGTTTAGAAATTAAGATAGTAAATTGTCTTAATATGGGAAAAGCCTCTATTTCGTGACGGAGTATGTAAAACTAATTAGGCTTGGTTTGTGGTACACTAAAAAAGTCAAAAAGTCACTATTCTATTTAAGTCACATCATCTTATTTAAGTCACATCACCTCTCTACCACATTACTTCAAGCCCAATCTAGACCCAACCCATATTTCATAAAAAGTAAAAAATATACTTATTTCATCCCAAACCACTCCTAAATATGTGAAAGTAGAATTTTGCAAATAGTAGAATCTTCGGTTGCGTTTGGTTGTGTTTTGTAAATGTGATTTGAGAGTATGAGTTGTATTTTGAGTTTGTGTGTTGTAGAATTATGATTTGAGTGTAGAAAATTTGTTTGGTAAAGAGTTTTGAAAATAATTTTGGAAAAGAGGTTTGATTTGAGTGGGGAATAGTTGATGTGACATACAACTCAAAATTATTTTAAAGCATATTAAAAATTAAAAAAATTTCAGAAAATATTTTTCCCAATTATATAAATCAATTGCAAAAAAAAAAAAAATCTGTACAATAGAGGACATCCGGGTGGATGTCCCCAAGGACGTCCGGGTGGTAGTCCCTAGGGACGACCGGGCGGTCTTTCCCTGGCAAAAAAATACAAGAAACGCGCAGAATAGACGGAATTTTGAAAAATTAATTCCAGAACTCTTACCAAACAAAAAGAATTTTTAGAATCCTATAAAACATGATTTAATAGCGGTGCGGGTCGGTGCGGTTTGGAAGAAAAATAGAAACCGGCGGATTGATAAAAATGTCACTAGAATTTGCCATTTTTCTTACCAAAAACCGGCGGTTCGATTGACAAATAATAATGAATTTGCCTTGGCGGTGCGGTTCGGTGCGGTTTCGGCGGTTTTGGCGGTATTATGCACACCCCTAGTCTCTAGGGACGACCGGGCGGTCTTTCCCTGGCCAAAAAAATACAAAAAACGCGCAAAATGGACGGAATTTTGAAAAATTAATTCCACAACTCTTACCAAACATGGAGCTGAAACTAGCATCCAGAATCACATTTCAAAAGCACAACCAAACACATTCCTTTTTATTCTTTCCTCTTCCCTATCTTCGTTCTTTCTTTCTCTGTTCCAGGTTAAATCTCTTTTTCAAAATTTTCGGATCATTCAACTAAAGCAAATATAGAAGCTTAATTCGGCTCCATTTCGACTAGGTTTGAAGGCGAGTTGGTTCATCAACATCGACTCTTGATCGCTACACAGATCCGTCGAATTGCAAGGTTTGCCCACTTCGTTTGCATTTAGTTCGAAGAGAGGAATATTGCTATTGTACTTTACTGTTGTTTCATGTGTCTTCACTCTGTAAAAATTTCTATTGGAGTTTATTCTATGTGCTGTTTTTTAGTGGTTCAATCAACTCAATTTAGACAGTTTATTCAATAGATTTAAATGGTAAAGTAGCATTGTCCTATAGTGAAGTAAATCTCTTTCGAAGGTATCAAATATTATATGGAATCGATAGTCCATCATTAATTTCTATTTTATGTGCAGAAAAAAAAAGAAAAAAAAGAAAATCATTATTGATCATTCCTTAACGCTGTGTTTGGTTAGAAGATTTGGGGAAGAATTTGGAAAGAAAAAATGAAAAAGTGTGTGAAACTATGTGAAGTATAAGTATTTTTTTCACATTTTACATACCTTTTTCATTTTTTTTTCCAAATATATTCTCAAATCCCCCAACCAAACACAGCATAAAAGTAGTGAACAAGGGAATTTCCCAATGACAACTTAAAATGTTTTATTTACAAATTATTCAGTGAATTTTGTTTTGTTATTGAGATGGTTTAATGTGTATATATATGTATGTATTTTTTTTCATTATTGCAATTTTTCATTTCATTTCATTTTCTTTTCTTTTCTTTTCTTTTAATAATGATTTTAATGGTTGTGGTGGAAAAAATACTCTTTCCAAACTGGAGCTGTGCCTTGGAACTATTACTAAAATAAACAAAAGGTGGATTATACTTTGCACTCTTACTTTTGATTATAAATTTGAGTAGAAATTTGGAAAGAGAAAAAATAATGTGAGAAAAATATGAATAAATATAAGTTTTTTATTTTTTATTTTTTCTTCCCCCATTTTCCTTGTTTTTTAATTTTCATTTCCAAATCTCGACCCAATTCCATATTCATAATCCAAACGCAACCTAAAATTTTATCCAATTCTCACTATATTAACTTTTAAACTTACATATTTTTTAAATTTTATTTTTAAACCATTACATTTTTGTCAATGTGACCCAACCCAACTAATATTTCCCTCCAATTATGTGATAAAGAAATTATAAAGTTAGAACTTGTAGGAGAGGGTTCAAGAAAGGAGTTGGAAAATTCGAAGATCGAATTCTTTATGTGATAAAGAAATTATAAAGTTAGAACTAAAAGATAGAAGTCTCTATTGGATGCTTATTGGATGCTTATAATGTTAAAAGATAGAAGTCTCTATTGGATGCTTATTGGATGCTTATAATGTTAAAAGATAGAAGTCTCTATTGGATGCTTATAATGTTAAAACTATTTTCGGTGTCTCTAAGGCAAAAGTTTGTTCTAATCGTAGTGCTCCTTGCCTAATACATAAACTACACACGTCAGCAAGGCATCACACTTCTATGTCTTCTTAACGAATTCAAGGATTAAGGTGGGAAATGGAAAAATTAATTTATTTTACTATAGACATATGTTATTTAGATAAAAATATGTTCTTTAGGATTGCCATAAAAAGCCTCTTTCGCAATTTGGATAGTAACTTTTAGCCTACATGTGTGTGTCAATTGTGCTTTAATGTTGCATATTTTGGATAGTGTTTTCCAATATTGCACTTGATGTATTAATAAAAAAAATTAGCATCCTTTTATTGCTTCGTGGCCCATCAAACAATTTTTATAGCTATTGTAGTTGGTTGTTTATTGCTGATATATATGGAGGAAATTTTTTTGTAATTGATGAACTACATATGGGTTTTTGTGCATCAAAGAGAGAGAACAAAAATGTCTACTGAGAGACTAAATCAGTCAACTGACAGGATCAAGGAGATTAGAAGAACTATGCTGAAGATACAAACGCTTGGTGTTTCCATCATTCAAGATTTGCATCAGAACTGAGAAACTCTGCTACATTCCCATACGAAGGTTTGCCATTTGGTGAATGTTTATGCCATTTATCACTTAGTAACACTCTTACCTTCAGTTAGTTTTGCCTCCTTTGGAAACAGATGGCATGCTCCTGAATGAATCATTTCCTAACCTTCTTCTTTTGGAGGACTAAACAATATAAATAATGCAGCAAGGTTTTTTCTCGATTGATGATTTTTATTTTTATTTTTTTGTTTTGTTTTGCAACTTCATGGGATAGATGATGCCTTTGACAAAAATAAAAGGGTCGAAATGTGGTATTATTATTTTCTTTTTTATAATATAATTGTTCATATTATTGTCATTGTTGATGAGTCGTAGACGATTCAAAATCCTGCTATTCTACCCTTTTGTCTATTGATTGTTTCCCTTTTTTATTTTTTTTTAAAATTTAAAATTATTTTATTATGTGTACAGGGATTGTAGTTGAGACTAGAATAAAAACTATAAGCATAGACCCAAACAATACCAAATGTGTTATTATTTAATGAAGACATTACGGATTCCTTTTGTCCCTTCACACATGGTTTTGCACCTCCTAATTTCATTTTTGTTTTTTGAATAGTTCAAAACAATTTTTTAAGAGCTTCAAAAAGTTAAATTGGTGCAATCCATGAACATACTCATTTTAATCTACGTTTTTCCTTAGAACAAATGATTGGAAACCCTTATCATTGTTTTTAATCATCAATTAAAGATATATCCATCTTTACAAATGGGTGTAATCCACGAACATGAGTTATTTTATGGCTGTTATGTAGTGAATTATGTTGTATCTCAAATGAATTTTCCCTGTCTCTTTTTAGTGGAAATTGAGTCATCTCCTGGGTGCTATTTTCTTTCGAGAAGTAAAAAAGGCTGCTTGGGAGCTTATTTTATTGTGTAGTTAGCATCTTTTGAAAGATCTTTGTATCAATATGTTTTGGTTCCTAATTATTAATTCTCATGTTTTGGAGTTCTTAACTCTGACGTTCACATTGCTAATGTTACGTCAATGGTTTCTTGATTTGTCAAATTGCTGGTCTTCCACAATATGTTCAACTTAGACATGGAATAAACAATTTGATAGCGGCCCGAGTAAAGACCCGACCATTTATACTCTTTGATTCAGAATCTGGTGCTCATTGTGTTTGTATATGCCCATTCTTTTCATATATTGTTGTTTGGAGAGTAGATATTATGGTTGTGAGATTGTTTGAAATAGGTTGGGAGTTGGTTTTTCAAGAGGGATTTTGCCTGATTCTTTTTAGGTTCGCTCGAACGGTCTTTCCTTCGCTTGAGCAGTCTTTGGTTCCTTCCAATATCTGTGTTTGTAGTCTGAACTTTTGGGAATGGGGTATTATTCGCTTGAGCCATGGGATGATTGCTCGAGCTGTATTTTGTGTCTGACGCTTGAGTAGTATTTCTTTCACTCGAGCGGTATCTTTGCAAGTCTGAACTACTGGGAGGGGGTCGTTGTGCACTCGAACTATGTTTTAGTCACTCGGGTGATTCCTTGTGTTTGACACTCGAGCAGTGTTTTGATCGCTCGAGCGGTCTATGTGTATATCAGTACGGGAAACAGATTTTTTCTTTCACTTTTTGATCTCTCTCTCTCTCTCTAAAAGTTTTCTTTATTAGATTTTTTCACTCTCTCTAGTTCTTGTCTAAACACCCTTGTACACTCAAATTCATTGGTCTCGCTACCCTAGTGGTTTGGGAAAAAGTGTTGAGCTTGTAGAGGTGAACGTTCTAATCGGAAAAGTTCTAGTTTTCGGCACCATCAAACTTTGGATCATGTTCATCTCTAGGGATTCTTTAACCTCTTTGTATAATTTTTAGCCTTATTATGTGTTCCTTGAAAGAGTGGTGATTTTGGAGTTGTGGGTCTGATTTAGGATTTGATTTGGAATTGGTTTTGGAAGTATAAAATAGGGGTTTTGAAATGGGTTCATGTGAAATGTTGTGGAGATGAGTATGTTAATAAGTTGGGTTGAAATCTTGAAAATCTCTCATTTAAATGTGTGTTTGAAAGGAATAGATATTTTATTGGAAATCTTGGAAATCATTGATATTGAACTAAGGAAAAAGGGAAAGATGTTGAGCTTTTGAAATAATAATATGAATATATCTGTTGATGATGAGGGTGGAGTTGAATATGTATTATTACTCCTATATTGAGATTATGAAATTATATCTGTTGGAGAGTTATCTTTTGTATAGAGATATCTGTTTTGGACTACTGGTAGATGATAACTTTAATTGTTGTAGAAATTGCATGAGGATTAGGCTAATTGAAACTAATTACTCATACATCTTGCATTGAACATTGTTTCATATTTATACATTGAAAATGTATCGTTTTGAGAAAAATGGGTGCATATCTTGGTGAATCTGGTTATGGGATGGTTGGCTTGTGTGTCTTTGGTGAAAGTCCAGAAACCAACGCAGTTAGGTGCCAATCCTGTCGTTTAGTATCGGTAAAATGGCTTTGGTAGTACTTGTATAACTTACTGGTAGACAGGTACTTAAAGATTCCTAATATTGTGTATCCATTGCCTTGTTTTTCTGATTTTAAAAAGTATTGTTTCATTAATTGATTTATAATCATGGCATTACACTGTTTTGCAAGAGAAATGTATAATGTTTAGGTAAATGGCATTCATATGCATTCACCACATGACTTTGTTAAGTATCATACAGTGTGTTAAGGTATTTTTTTTTTACTGGATTTTAGCTCATCCTATGTAGAAACCAACTTTCAAGTGTTGATGGAATGTCTCCGCCAAGGACTTGGCTTGGGAGGATCTTGGAACTAAAAGTTTATTTGTTTTTCTTTTATTGTAAATATCTTTTGTACAAGCCTCGGGCTTTTTATTTATTTTGGGCGTGATCCACTTTTGTTGTAGCCAAGTATTGTCTTGGAAATATGTAGCTGTTAAGGTATGAACTTATTCGAATTTCCTTTCATTTCTATATATTGTCATGTGTCATATGCTATAGATTTAGATGTGGGGTTTATAAATGTGTAATGCATGTGGCACATTTTGTAATATTTTCAACAGAATTAATGAAAGACTGAAACCTTGTTAGTTTTCTACATATTTAGTGTACCTTTTGAGATTTTCTGATGATATAATATAGGGGTGTTACAAATTCGATTCTTTGAAGTTTTTATTGTTTTTCTAGCATTAATAATGCTACATGTATGTACTCATTTGTGTTTCTGCTATAAAGTTGTAGCAATAGCAATGGTCATTTCATTAATCATTTGTAATTGTTACGACATATTTGAATATTTTTTTTTGTAGTTGTACTACGCAATATATTCATAGTGGGCTTATTCTTTTAATGTATATTTTTTGTGAACAATACTCAATCAAGCATTTTTTGATGTATGCTTCCTCTAATGAACTATTATAAAATTTCAAACAAATTATTATCACTGATTAGATGTATGTTGCCTTGTTGTGTTTTGAAAATATTACATCAATGTTATTGTTAAAGAGAAATAAGAGTATGTTGCCTTGTTATGTTTTGAAAGTATTAAATCAATGTTATTGTTAAATAAAGATAGAGGAAAGACAAGAAACGGGGTTGATTTTTTTGAACATTTATCATGTTCAATGTAAAAGTTTTTTCTCTTTCCCAAATTCATTGATTTAAAATTCTTCATTTCTCATTGATGACAACATTTATCTAGTAGAATAACCAATTACAACTCCTGTAATGAGCATTTGGTTTTGTGCCTAGCACTTAGCCACCTCACTAGTGTATATATAAACCCTAAACCCTAGTATCTTTGGAGCAAGCATTGTGGTTGGGGTTGGTGTAGAAATTCTCTTTTGACCGGCCTTAAGACTTGGACGCTCTATTCCAAGCACCTGATGATGAAAGTTGCCATGTGCAATCTTTTGGATCCCTCAACAGGAAACCAAAATTCAAGCTTTAATCCCAACCATCACAGTCTATACTTGTCTTGGCGAAAACCATTTTTGACCCTCTTAAAACTGCTTTCATAAATTTTCTGGGTTGTGTAGTTTCAAACATTTTTACAATGTCCCAAGGCTCATATTTCAAACTTTAATGTTGTCTCTTTTTTTTTTTTTAGTGGATTGAGTAAAGGATAGAGTGGGAGTAAGTGGAGGGGTGAAATTCTCTGAAAATACTTGTTTTTCCTGTCAAATTATGTTAGCTTTACACTTTTGATCCAACAGTACATTTTTTTCGCTGGCTGTATAACTATTGATGGCTAGATGAAAAATGTGGTCGGCTGGATAAATAATGGTACAACTGACTGAATTGTTTGGGTATAAAGCATTTTCGAAAATTTTGGCTTTTTTTGCGAATTTTCTACAAATATCGTAGTTATTTTCGTCCCAAAAGTCTATATAAGGACGTCTTAGCTTCATCTTTGGGGGTAACCAAATTTTAAAAGGCCAAGAGACTTGCTTTGAGAGCTCATCACCCTACTTTATCTCTAGCCTCCATTCTTCACACAGATATCACTCAAACTCTATTAAAGCTTAGCTTGACACACCTTGCTGAGGATTCTAAGGACTCTAAGCCATACCAGAAGACCTTGAGGGTGCTAAGAAACAATTTGACAACCAAAAAGCTCACCCTCTTTTCAAGAAGTGAACTTTTGACCTCTTCATTCAACTTTTCTCTCTCTTACTCCCTTTCAAGTTTTGTATATTATTGTTTTATGTTGTAATCACATGATGGGTCCTCATGGATGTGGTTGGCAATAGAATATAGCCACCCATTCATTGAGTTGATTACTTTTCTTACTTGCTTGCACTCTTACATGCTTGTTCTTGCTTGGTAGTGTTATAATCCATTGTTGTTGTATATAGGCATGTAAAATGGAACCTTATGGATGTGGTTGGGAGTTAGAAAGTAGCCACTCATCCATAAGTTTGATTATATAGTGTAATTTTTTTCTTTTTCATTCACTTTCTTATCATCTTCCTCATCATCTAAGCATATGGGGTTCATATGTTTCAATCCATACTCAATTCTAATGAATAGTTGTGGTTGGGGCATGGAACTAGTTGGATGATTCTTAAGATTTGGTGTTGAGAGGGTTGTCAGTTTTTATTTTTGTTGTGGTTCACTTGGAAGTAAAGTAAGAGGTTTTTTGTCAAAGATGTTAAAAACTCTCTTCTTAATCTGTCTACATGAAAAGGAGTGGAAACACCCTTATTCCATGGCCCTTTGTGTTGTTAATTGTGGGTTAAGGCCTCTCTGCCTCTTTCTTGAGTTTGTCTGTGAGGGGAAGAAGTAGAAATGATGAGCACCCTTTTGAAAGGTGTTACTGTTCTTATTTGGCTTTGCTACATAAAACATATTTTCCTTTGGATCTTTCATCCGGCCGGATAAGAAACAATACGGCCCGCAAAACTATAGCGATCCCGGTTTTTCCCTCCATTGGTTATTGTATTCCGGACTAGGTTCCATGGATGTCGGTTGTTGTATATGTTTCATTTCCGTCCTTTAATTCTTTGTATTTGAGTATTAGGATGTGTTGGGTAGGTTTGTAACAGGTTGGGTGTGTTTGAAACAAATGGTTGCTGCCCAGATTTTGGTGTCTTCGCTCGAGCGAGGCTTTTGTCGCTCGAGCGAGCTCTTTGTTTTAGTTCCTTCGCTCGAGCGAGAGTTGAGTGGTGTGTCTGGTGGCTCAAGCGAGAAGTCTTGCGCTCGAGCTTGCGTCTGCGTCTCTTTTTGACCTGAAGGTTGCATTTCTTGGCTCGAGCGAGCTTTCCTTCGCTCGAGCAAGCGAGCTGTATGTTTTGGGTTTCTTCGCTCGAGCGAGCTTTCCTTCGCTTGAGCGTGCTTCTGGGTTGCAGACCTGAAGCTTCGAATTGTTGGCTCGAGCGAGGCTTTCTGCGCTCGAGCAAGGTTTCTTTGTGTCTGGTCGCTCGAGCGACCACTCCTTCGCTCGAGCGAGCCTCGAATATATCAGTTGGCAGCAGCGGGTTACACTTCACTTTTTCATCTCTATTATCTTCAAACCCTAGATCCGGCTGCTCCTTCTCTCTCTACATATCTTCTCTCTACAAATCCATCTAGTTTTAGTGGTCTCCTACCCTAATCCCTTTGTAAGAAAGGTGGAGCTTGGTGTGGGCTTCATTTTGATCCGAAAATCTTTGAGTTTGGAGCATCTCGAGTTTTCATCATTTTCTCTATTGGGTCTCTTCTCTTGAGGTAGGGATATCTTACTCCATCTTATGAGTTTTGACATAAATTTTAGTCATTTTGATTAGATGGTGTTGTTGGGTAATTTTGGGGAAGTTAGGGTTTGAGTTGTAATTTATAAAAGAGGGGTTTTTAAATTGTTAAACTCCATGTGTATGTGAGACCTTGGAAAATGGAATTATTGTTGTTAAATTGATGAAATTGGATCTTAGGGTTGGTATTTGAAAAAGGGGAGAAAATGCCCTAATTTTGTTGAACAATTAATTTGAATAATTAATTTGGAAAAATGTGAAATTGAGTTGAAAATCATGAAATTGGGAAATTATAAGGTTGAATGGTGTAGTTGGATATATTAATCACTCACCTATGAAAATGTCGATATTTTATCTGTTGATAAATTTAATATCTGTTTAGAGATAACTGCTTTGGGCTATTAGTGGAGGATAGTCTTGATTGTTGTAGACACTGTATGTTGATTAGGGAAAACTGAAACTAATCATCGGAATATGTTATTGAATATGACGGTTGGATTAATACATCGAATGTGTATTGATTGATCATTGCATATGATAAGTGTTTAAATACATTGTATATGTACATTGTTTGGGAGGAGATAGGGGATGTACTCCATGATTTGAGAGGAGATATGGGATGGACTCTCAAACCTGTTTGGAAGGAGATAGGGGATTGATTCCATTGATAACTAAGTTGGCCGGAGTGTCCAGGGTAAAAGTCCCGGAATTCTAATTACGTTACATAACGTTGATAATTAAAGTATTAAAGTGTTTTGATAAGAGTTGTAGGCTCTGTTTGGTAAGGCTTATTTCCAGCTTATTTTAGCTTTTAGCTTAATTTAAGCTATTTTGATATGTTTGGTTCAGCTTAACAATACAGCTTATAGTTTTTTGTAAGTCAAAAATCAACTTATTCTTTGAGTGGAGGAGGAGAAGCTTAATTTATAAGTTAAAAATCAACTTATGTTCATAGTTATAAGCTATAAGCTGTTAAGTTATAAGCTATAATCACGTTCCCACAGCTCTACCAAACGGGGTTGTAGTCTCATGTGAATTGTGAATAAAGGAAGGGTTTTAATATGAGTTGTAGTCTCATTTAATTGTTTGGCCAGGTGCTGAGCCATGTTTATGAATTGAAAATTGGATAAGTAAAGGAAAGCGGAATGAAACATGGTCATATTTGTCATGGAATTTGAATATGTTGTGAGTTGGTTTTACAATTGCTAGCCATTTATCAAATGCTAATATTTTAGTTATTTCTCATACTTGGTTTAGTATATCTCTACTGGGCATTGGCTCACCTTATATGGGACATCATTTTCAGGTTCAGGTGATATGCCACCTCCAAGGACATAGCTTGGGAGGCTTAGAGGCTGAAGAACTTTTGTTGTTATCTTTTTGTGTATTACATGTAAATTCAAGCCAAGGGCGTATTTTGTATAAAGAGTTAGAACTCTTTTTTTGTTGAACCCAAGTGCTGACTTGGAAAGTTGTAAGCCCGTAGGACATTTACTTTTGTTGTCAACATGTAATACTTTTGTATTTATTACTCTGATGAATGGAAATATGCTTTATTCTCTTAAGTTTATAGTTGTCATGAATGTATGATTTATGAGTTTATTTTGAGGGTGTTACAAAAACTTTCATTTGACCGACTTACCTTTCTTCAAGCAGAACATAGTAAAATAGAGCAGCTTCTGAAGGGTGATCTCCTGGGTTCTGAGATTGCTGTTTATAATTCATTTGTTTTTACTTTATGATTTGTTAGATTCAGCTTCATTTGGTTGAATCGACTCACTGTTGTAAGAACTTCCAATCCCTTGTCTCCTATTCATTCATTGTTGTAAGAATTCCCAACCCTAGGTCTTTCTATCCATTTTATTTTTATGCTTTTCATATATGTTGTAAGGTATCATGTTTTATTTATCATATCCATATTGTGCATCCATTTTTTACGCATACGGATTCAGTTCATTTACATTTATGGGATTTATCAATTAAAACATCATTTTATGCGCTGCTCACATGCCATGAGATAATTCACATGTCACGTATTAGTAGCCAAATCCTTACTTACATTTTGTGGGTGTATTGCATTAGCTATTCATATGTAGGATCATGTATATGTATATAGCATATTACTTTTGGCTTGCCATAGATGAAGGCTAGGTGAACATTTTAACATCCTGGATGTGTATGTTACTTCACTATGTCTAGTATCTTACCATGTGGTTATGTGCTTAGGTGATATAGCCCCTTGAATGCCAGTTGATGAATGTTGTATTGCTTAGATTGGAATGATGTTGATTGATATGTATGTAAGCTCAATTTCTTTGAGTTATACATTTATTCCCAAAAAAAAAAAAAACACACACACATATCAAGACATATGGAATCAAAGCATAACTAAAATGGGTGACACAATCTATAATTGCTTGCTTCACGTCGTAATGCTAGCATTATTAAGTAACCGGAACATGAGCGTATGGAGACTATAAAACTCATATCATGACTTAATAGAGGTCGATTTTTTGATAGGATAAACTAGGTGTTCAATTCGTGGCTTTCCCCCTTCATGCCTAAGTTCTTAAACTGAGGCACTTTGATTATGACAGACAGTGGCCTTTGTCATGAATCACAATTAGATGACGATTCTAAAATCTGATGATGTAGCCTATTTTTGACAAAAGACTTTGCAATAGAAATGAATTTTCTATAAAAGTTGCCAGATTTGGACTCATTTAAATTTTACATTGTACTTGTGAGACTAGATTAGGAGATTAGGAGTCCGAACTGTTGGGCGCGCTCGGATATCCCCCAAATGCATCCCATAGTTGGATGATCGGTCTTCATTGCCAAGTACTCCATTTTTCTCTCTATTTTCTCATACACATCTGATAAAAAAACCAAGCAAAGTAGAAGCAGAGAGCATGTATCTATTACGAAGATACTATTTAAGAAATTTGTTTAAGGATTTTTGAAAGATTTTTTTCATAATGGTGTAATTTGAGATTTTTGATTTATTTATTATTTGTGTGTATCATAAATTATGATCTTATCTTGAGGGTAGTTTGTGAAAAAATATAGTGTGTTCTGAGAGTAAAGTATAGTCCTAAATAACTCTAAATAATTTAATAGAGAGTACTAAAAAATTGAACATACTGAATGGTTTTTGGATGTAAATAGAATCACCCCTAATCTAAATAACTCAAATCCAACCTGAAATTTTTGAAAGTTGGGTTGTATAATTTTATTTTGGTTAGGATGGACTAAAATTTATTAGCCCAAATTAAATTCCGATAGGAATCAGCCATAAATTTTCTCAACTGATCAGAATGAGCCATAAATTTTCTCAACCCAAGCAATCCAAATAACCTTACTTACCCAAAAAAAAAAATCCAAATAACCCGAATTCTATTGTTAATATATATTTATATGTATAATAAACATGAAATACTATAAATTACAGATCATTTTATCACCATTTGGATTATAACATATTGTAATCTATTCTATTCTATTGTTCGGTATGTATATGGTTTGTGTTTTTTTTATTTTTTGAGATAAAACAAATATTTTTGTATTTGAATTAGGACAATCGGAGCTAAGTCTGAATTGTTTAAGTTAAACATGAACTTAGGCTTGGATAAAAAGTTTTTTTTTTAGATTAATGTTTGGAAGCACTAAAAAGGAAGCACTAGGGGAGCACTAATGAGTTGACTCCCTCCTTGATGTGATGGTTATCTCTATTATTTATTTATTTATTTATTTTTTTGCCATTTTTCATCTTCTTAGAGCTATTAGTGGTGTGTTTTTTAGTGGTCTCAATCACTTCCCTTTTTATTTATAAAAAAAGTTGACTTACATTTCAAATTGATTTAATCAGATTTTCAACCAATCCAAGCAGCTAAGTTGTAGCCCTATTAAAAACACTAGTATTCACAAAACATTTGTGAGATACTTTTCACACACCACACCCTGTCCTCAGATCAAATGGCGGTGTATCCAAATGGGAAAGCAAAACTATGGTTGGTGAAGTGTAGGAGGAGTATTTGAAAACAAAACCAGCAAAATAGATAGATACACATATTATATAAATTTTATATTTTTTTTGGGTACCCATTATAAAAACAATGGATAGGGATTAAAATCAAGTCAAGAAAGCTCAGCTGCCCAACTAAAACAGAACCTTCCAACACGTCCACATACCATGAATTTCGGCTTTCCCCTCTGTCTCACACCCACCTATTGGATCGCGTGGTCACACGCTCCAA